AAGTTGCAGGACACATCTAAAAGCCTTCAATAAATCAATGCCTAACGCCTTCCTAACGAATGATATGATTTTTGCGAGACTTATCGAAAATTCTATGATGAGCCAATGAATAAAAACTTGGCAAGGAATGACAAGATTTATGAGTTCAAAATTTATTATACAAGTATTTTAAGCCAAGTATGACGTAAAGAAGGCAAAAAGTTTGGCGAGTAAGTAAGGGTCCGTTCATGGATATAGAAAAAAATCGAAAAAAACACTTTTAAGCACGAAAAGCCAGAGAAGATTTTTTAATAATGTTTTTGATGTCGATCAAATTAATTGAAAGCCTTTCAAGGCCAGCCTTTCAGTCTCGGTTTCTTTTTTTTAAAAGGGAGTTTTTAATAATGCTTGATTAAATATAGAAAGACTCTCATAACCTAATTGTGCCTGTGTCCATATGTCTTCCAGGCAATTGTAAATATATATATATATATATTTTATATTTACAAGAAACACTTTTTAGTATTTAGCAGCAAATGTAAATTTAACTGTCTACCAACTAATTACGTAAAAGACAAGGAAATAAAAACTTTTTCGCTTTTTTTTTTCTTTAACAGAAATATTCTCTGACTGTAGAAATAATTCCAATTAATTGATAATTTTCGTGTTGTCTGTCTTTGTTTGTTTGTTTTTTTTTTTTTTTCAATATTAAAATAAAAACATTTAAACAATTACAAACCCAAACAAATTTACATCTAGATACAATTGTATATACATACACACATATGCATATATTTTGTATTATCGATACATATTAGTTTCCTATCGGATATTAATTGTATTGAGGATATGTTTGAATAATGATCGGTTTGTTATTCATAAATGTTATAAAAGTAAGGAAAGCACCCACATACATACAAATAACATTCGTTTTATGCAAATATATAGGAGGTATCGATATCTTCTTAATTTCTTTTCAACTGTTGCATCGTTAAGTTCTTTTATTTTTTTTTTTTTCTTTTTTTATTAAAAATTTTAATACATAACACATAAATTTTCACAAAATCTTTCCGTTTCATTCGTTTATTCGGTTCGGGCAAATTATGCACTTTTTTTTCATTTTTTTGTTTTTTTTGTTTGCTGTTTCTATTAATAATATATCTTTCTTATGGTTATTTATTGTATAATTGATCAAAAAATGTTCACTTTAAACTAATTTTCATCGTTAATATTTATTCATTTATTTAATTAATTTTTTTTATTTATTTTTTTTGAAAATAAAACAGAGAATTTCTCAACTTGGTTTTATTGGGAAACGCTTGAGAACTACTGAAAAGATAGTCGTAAAGAATACTAAGAGAAGGGAAAACTTTGATTGAACTTTGCCTTAACTGAACTTAACTTTATTTAACGTAAACTTCTTCATAGACTTGCTTGTTAAAGATGAAAATAATAGAGCTGTTGATTGAGCAATTCTTTTCGATCTATAGCGGCCTCCTAAACATTTTTCGAACGCGCTAACTTATTTTGGATATATTGAGAAACCACATTCTTTTCATAACATTCTAAGGGATTATAAACATGTTTTAGCGCTTTACAATACGTTGTTTAGCTTTTCGATTTATTTTTAAATCACATTTACTTTTTGAACTTGAATTCTTTTAGTCATTTCAAATTGCATCTCTAAATGTATATGACTTGTGGGTAATACCTTATGTTTATCTATAACAAAAGTTGTTTGAGTACAAAGAAAAACAATAACATCTTAATTATTCCTATGCTTCTCATAAGTTCCTAAAAGTGCAGGTAGTGCTATTAGAGTTGTTGCCTCATGACATTGGAAGGTAGAATTTGTTTCGTTCTGATAACTCTGGGATCTTTTGTTAATAATACTGAAAAATTGACCATATTGGTTATTCCCATGATTTCCATAAGTGCCTGCAAGTCACATCGTGGTATGATTCGTTATAAAAAGACATAGTGCCATTAGAATTGTCGCCTCATGACTTTAGAGGGTAGAAATTGTTTCGTTCTGATAACCCTGCAGACTCTGATCGTCTTTTATTAATAATACTGAAAAATTGTACATATTGGTTATTCCCATGATTTCCATAAGTGCCTGCAATTCACATCGTGGTATGATTCGTTATAAAAAAGCACCTACTACGATCTGGGTTTATGTCTCGTAATTTTAGAGGGTAGAAATCGTTTTGCTCTGATGAAAATTAAATGTTTAGAAACCCCGTTCGCCTTCTATTAGTAATACTGAAAGAAAGTTTATTTTAGTTATTGCCACGATTCCCATACGCGTCCATTAGTCATTTGTATGACGCCTTTCGACGTCGAATTACGAAGTTTAGAAATTAACCAAAAATACTGAGGTCGAAGAAATAGTTTATCGGCAAAGCAAAATATAAATCCAACAGCAATGAAATCATACACTAACAAATTCCAAATTTGATCAAAGATACATTTTGGATGACGAAAGTTTAGGCTGATCGGTTAAGTAGTAATAGATCTACCACGGTGCATAGAAATTAAATCGTATTATAAAGGATCATGAAACCCGCCTTGCGGCATCTCTTTAGGTTTCATCATAGGTCATCTGTCGAGTCAAAGATAAATTCTCTGAAGGACAACAACAGATCTTAAAAAAAAAGCAAAGCAAACTAATCAGTGCGTTTGCTAATCCGAGAATCCTTCTTAAGGGTCTTAAGACCCGATCGTATTATTGTAAAAAGTAATAAGTCTAAAGTTAAAGGAATTGTGTGGCCGTGTCATTAAAATAAAGAAGGGAGGATAAGTCTCTTAACATTCAAGATCGTATTCTATTGAAAATATGAGTTATGTCCTTGTTGCTTGTATTAATTAAGAATTTGCAATCGAAAGGTTATCATTATGCAAATGATTATAATCGTAACGCCCGCTTGTACGATATGAACAATTTTCGATTCACTTGAAATGGAGGAAAACTCAAATCATTGCTTGTAGTCCTTCCTCCATTTATATCTTTTTGAGGAATATTCTTAAATATAAATTTAAGGGGCTTCGCATTTTCTTCTGTTTAGAACTTTATGTGATCAGCGTGTGCGTTACAATAAATAATCAAACAAAGTGACGGAATATCATTATTTCTTGATCGACGACTAAAAGTTTTTTATATAAGAGGGCAATAAGTCAAGTATAGGGTATAAATGAGATTATTATAGAGAGTAAGTTTCCTGTAGACGGCTTAATGAATGATAGGTGCAAAGTACATACGTGTTCTAGACAACCAAACAAAAAAAAAAAAATTTACTTAAAAAAATTTTGGTATTAAAAAAAAAAATAAAATAAAAAAATTTAAATTAAAATTATTCATTTATTTATTTATTTCAATTACGAAACAGACAAACAAACAAAGTTGAGAATCTCTGTGCTATAATTTATCAGAAATTTTCGCATTATTGTCATTCAATTGCTGTACATACAAATGGATGAAAGATATGTACATACATTTATATATAATAATTTTTTATTTTTGTTGTTGATTAAATTTCGTTTATTTCTTTGATTATTATTTTTTGTTTTTAATTTTTTTAATGTTTTTTTTTTTATACAATTATTTAAATTAATTATTGTCATTAGTTTGATACAATATTTACAATTTATTGTCATCGTTATCGTTTATCGTATTGTTTATGGATAAATGTATGAATAGTTAACAATTGTACATTAATGCGTGTATAGTGATGTTTTGTTTGTAAACATGAACGAAAAAAGTATTTTTTTTGTTTTTTAATAGAATAATTAAAATAACCAAAAAAATATATTAAAATTTAAATAAGTATTCATTATAATTTTAAGCTTAATTTTTTGCTTTTCTTCTGATTTTGAGCGGAACAAACAAAGTAAGAAAAAAAAAATATTAAATTGCCTTTAAATAATTATTAGAATTTTAAATTTGTTTTTTTTTTTTTGTTTCAATTTATAAAGAAAACATAATTCTTATTTTTTTAGAAAAAATTTACTATCATTGATTAGTTTTCCTGTTTTTTTTTCTTTAAATTAAGTTTTCAAATTTTTAAGACCAGAATTTTTATTATTTTGAAAAAATTTTTCAAATTTGTAAAATTTTACTTTTAGTTCACCTTTCCATTTGTTTGTTGTTCTTATTTTTTTTTTCTTTTTTGCTCAGCTAAATACATTTAATATAGTTTTTAATTGTTTTTTTTTCATCTTTTAGTTAATGTTTGCTGCTCAGTATTTGACCTAAAATTCTAATAATTGATGCAAGTTTCACATTAAATGTTATGTTTTTGAAATCATTGAATTGTTGTTATTGTCATAAAGTTCTTCTCGAATATTGCTTTTTTCTTTTTTTATTAAATTAATTTTCTATCTAAACAAAATTTTTATTTAGGTTAATAGAAATTCTGGTCTCCTGATATAACAATGACGAAGAAGAATAGGAGGATCAAAAAAAAAAAAAAAGGAAAAAGTCCCAAATCCTTACAAAAAAAAAAAAAAACCTTTGTGCAGACATCCTTTATTGTACCAACAATAATATTTACTATCATGCAGTAAATATTAGCATTGGCTTGCAGTTTAACAGACCAATAAATGCCGCCATTATCGAACATACAGCAAAAGTAGTTGCCAAACGTGTTGCCCCACTATCGACAACATTTATTTTCCAACCCAAATTATTGTGTGTAAAACACTATAAGATTTTTCAGAAAAACAAATAGTACGGCATTGCGGCGATAGAGCGAAATTCGCTTACCTGATAGTACAGTAGATCGGGAGCATCTAACGGCACAGTCCAATTCAAATAGCCCGGGTCACCTTCTTCACACTCCAGTTCCAATGTCTTCATGTAGTCCTCAAATGTTTCAATTTCGGCCGAACGGTCAACAGTGCGATGCGTCCATTCGCAATACCGGCCCGCTATGGAAAACGAAGCAAAGCCCCTTTTTATATGTATGAACATTTCATATCGGGTTTTTTGTGTTTTTGAGTTTATGTCTTGAAAGTTCCTCCTAAACTTAATTTTTTCAAAACCTCGCTCGCCACCTTTCGAGAAAATTGGTTACGCACTTTCTCGCAGACACTTCGTCATATTATCTTAGGAATAAAAGTGTAGTGAAGCATACGATGAAAACCCTGCCAACTATTCAAATTCATTAATTACTATTCTACGACCGATTTGTTTCCAATTTGGAACAAAGCCTGCAGTCCTGCATATGTGATGGCCTTGTCTCCAGAAATGTAGCTAAAAGAAGGCGTAGAAACCTAAGCTATATCGAGGAACTTTACGAAGTCGTTCTCAGTTCTAAGGTTCACTTTTGATTAACCGGCTTCATCAAGAAATTAAATTGCCACTTTTAGTTACTCCTAAACGTGCAGAGCGACGATCTCTAAAAGTGATCGGAGGAATCGAAGAATCGTTCTAGGCTTTGACTATGCGTGACGCAAGGCCATAGAGAACCGATTAATGGAAACCCGCCAAGATACTTAATGGAGAACTCTGTATTAAAATAATAGGGAAAAATTCCCTTACCTGCTGTTGGTGTTGGATTTCCTTCGTCATCGAACTCGACGCCGGCGTATGTCTTTTGTTCCGTCAATTGTAAACCGGTTTTTTGGCCAATACCTCCTTCTGGTGAATCCGTAATATAAAGTGGATGATATCTACAGGGAGGGATTATGTTTCTATTCATCCGATTCAGTGATCACTAAGTCTTAGCATACCTGGCAGGTTGACTGGGATTATCGCCTCCTTCAACAAAGAATTCATAATTTTTACCGCGTTCGACGGTAATTTCAGGTATTAACAAATCATTAATATACCAAGCGATACCCCATGATGGCAAACCAGTGATGGGTGTATAACCGCGTTTCCCACCTGTTGGGCCAATGCGTGCCGTAAATACGTGTTCGTTTTCAATTTTTCGTGTAGGCCAAGGCTCAGGACCAGTCTCGTCTTTTACGCTATACAATGAACTTTTGCAGGTGTTATCGTTCTAAGCGGAACATGGAAACATGCAGTTTTATTTCATATTTTTAATTGCATTGCATTTTACCTTCGATGAGAAATCGATACGTATATCATCAACATTGTGATCACTTGCGGTATGAGAATGAGCATTAGCTTCCATACGATTGTTTAACGGTCCAATGGCAGCGATAACGGAGACTTCACGATCCGTAGGTATGGCGAGATCGTAAATGGGTTCGTTCGTTTGAACTAAACGTTTGTATTTAATGGTGGTAACGCCGTTTTTACGATCACCACTTACTACGAGCATAAGTTATGAATGATAAATTTCTCACTCAAGTGAGGTCAAAATTTATAATATTTTTTTTTTTTTGGAATACTTACACACAATAATATCATTACGACCGCCAATCCGTTCATCGGGGCAAGCACCATGTTGTCCATCACATTGCGATAAATCCGATAGGAAATAATCATCAGCTCGAAAAACGCGTGCATTTGTATCGTAAAAAGCTACCGTCACATCCGATTGAGTCATCTGCGCCCGGCCATTAGCACCCGATAAACCGAAAGCCATGTATTGATTCTCCGCTATCCGACCGTACAAGTCTAGCACCAAATATTCACCTTGTAATTCCCATTTCACTTGCATTCTATTCGGCAACAGCTCACGGCAATTGCTAAATATCGGTCTTGGTGTAGTAGTAGTCTGAAAAATTTCCATTCAAAATTTTTATATAAGTATGTGAAAGTATTTCCTATAGCACTACAGATTTGAAATTTGGGTTGCGCATGATACGGGAAGTTGAGAAGGTTTTCAACTACGTCTGAATCGATTGCGTAATAATTATAAAAGAAATTTGATTGATTTCAAAGTAAAGAACTAGAAAACTAACGGTGATAAGAAGGTCATACTGGTTAGTTTTCTAGTTCTAGTTCTAGGAAACGTGAAGTTTTTTTTTGTTTTGTTTTTTTTTTTCTTTTTAAGAAATGTACTTACAGGAGAATACCACCATGGAGGCTAATGATAGCGAGAAATAATAATAAATAAATATATAAATAACAATATGTTAAATGATGATAATTATGTCCATATGAGTCACTGTGATAGAGATCAGGGTTTTCTATATATATATATTATATAAATATATACATACATACAAAATGTTTTCCTAAATTGATTCTATATATATAAAGCACTTTTTTTTTCTCTCCGTTTTTCTAAATCTAATTAAAAAAAAAGTAATTTTCACTTACGGTTATTTTGGTTTGACCCAAAGCGGGTGGTACGTCGAGATCTTTAGGTATAAAAACATGCCCGAAATTCTGTCGATATTCCACACACCATACTGCCAGCCAATCAATATCATAAACTGTTAATGTGCCGGGCAATTGTATCTCAATATCTTCACCTTGATAGCCTCGTAATGGTTCTAGGGAACCAATTTCATTAGGTACCTTAATTAAAAGAAAAAAAAAAAAAATTATCACTCAATTATATAGTATTGGGATGGAAACACAATTACTTACCTTAATACCCATCATATGAGGTTCGGAACCGTTGCCCACCCAAAAATAGGCATCTGGACCGGCACCGTCGTAATGTAAGTTCGGTATGTAAAAGGTTTTGGCATCTAAAACACTAATATTGCTTGAGCGCAAGCCATGAGCTAGTCGCTTAAATTCAGGTAAAACACGCGGTTTTGGAACATCTAAGCCCGGTGGGATAAAAACTTCACCAAAATCAACCTTTTAAACATAGAAAAGGAAGAAAGTATTACAAAGCGTTACCGTGTGTTTTCATTAAATGTGGAAACTGAAGAATGAATTCTGACACAGGCTTGAAGCTTTGAATAGCCTTAACAGATATTATTATTTTACTGTCAGAAAATCTGTAATGGTAGTAGTGTGTTTATATCTCTATCAAACAACTAAACCGATTGCCTTGGCCCGACACGCTCGACTTCTGTAATTACTCACGGGAAGCTTTTGAGATGCAAAGAACAATTTAAAAAATTCTGTTATCTATCTCTCCGGGAGTATCTGTCCTTTTCATGTCAACAAACAAGACAAAATAGCGAGCAAAAGGTGATAAAGAAATAAGAGGCTATAGTTAAAAAGTTAATGTGTCTTATAAGGCTTAATAAGGAGATGGTATAATGAGTAATTGAAATATAAATTGATATTAAGGGGTTTATTCAGGCCTTGTCATCGGTCACTAGCTGTTGGCCACGACAGAAAACAATGCGTTTTTTGACTTTGTATCAACTTAGTTACTCCGAGGGAATGAATGGTCGTAGAAACACATTTCAATATCAATTTTCTTGTTTAGTCAGGCAAATCACAAACAAAGGCGTTTGTTCTGGCTTGTGCTATGTCTTTACGTTGTTGTTGTTCAAGGTACCGCTATAAATCGGTGATGTTGCTCAGACTAAGTCTATGAATGTTTTAACATGCACAAAGCCTTGCGAAGTTCAGCTCACCTCAATCATTTGATATTTCAAAGCAACCAACGCGAGCATTGAGATATGGAGCTTAGTACCTTTGTGCACAGAGGCCAAACAGTAAGACCAATTTAATATTTTCTTTCTTAAATCTATTTACTATCCAAATCTATTTTGTCGCCTTCGTAGTAATTCCCAAATTCAAATAATAAATTCTTACCAATTTGACCTGGGGGAAGGGAATCACAGTACACAACACCACGATAATCGAGGAAACCTCACTTCGATGTTTGACTGATTTTTTTTGGTCTTGGCTCATCTTTTGCCCAAAATTCGTTCGATTGATTGCTTGTTTTCATAAATCCAACTCTCATTTCTCGTAATAATGTGTTTCATGACCGACTGATAGTCAGAAATCATCATTTGCTCATACACATGCATTGCAAAAACCGGAAAAATTACTGAAACACTAATGACGTTTATCATGTGAAATCGCAGCGACTTTATGATGACTGTCACAGTGCTGTCAATTTAGAAAAAACTATTTCCGATATTCGATATATCCGCACGACCTGACTTACTTTTTGGTCACAGTGTTATATGATTTATGAACGCTATGTGCCTTATGTCTGTCTACCTAATAAAAGATTATGTAAAAGATCAAGTAACAAGTTTTTGGGGTTTTTTTTTTAATTATCTATGTATCGTCTTAGTAGGGTTAGCGTTAGAAAAGTGACACGATTTCGAAACCATTAATTAGCATATTTGTTAGGAATGGTTTGCTTGACTCAATCTTTTCTAAATTTCTGACATAGATCGTTTTTGAGACATTTATGTTTATAATTATATGTTTAAAAAATAAAAAAAAAAAAAAAAAATTGAAAACATTTGACGCTTTTCTTTAGTAGTTCCCAACCTTCTTTCACAGTTCCCAAACCTTTTCAAGTGAGTGGTTATTTCACAAATAATAAGCAATAGACAACAATAAGGCATAATGGCCCCGGGGCCGCCAGACAAAAACTCGAATAGATTTTATCTATTAAGTGATACATCCCCCCAAAGAAAAAAAAGTAAAAATTCAGATTTTCCGGTGTTGCCGATCAGCGATATAACCCCTATTGAAAAAAAATTTATTGTTATTTCCTCAACCGATGCTCGAATAACAATTTCCCAAATTAGCCCTTTTGCTATAAAAAAAGCTCTAGATAGCATTACAACATACATCGACTCGATCTCGATTCTACGCGATGGGAATTTACTGGTCCTCGCTGGGAACCTGCGCGCAACCGAAAAACTAATAAAGGCCAATTCTTTAGCTAATCTATGTGCTATTTCAGCTAAACTATATGAGAAACTTAACTCGGTTCGAGGCGTAATTTATGCCCCTTGCTTAAAACATGTGCCGGAAGATGAAATTGTTCGCGAAATGGGCATTCAAGGAGTGACTGAAGCATATAAATTAACCAAACTGAATGATGACGGAAAAACACGCTCTCCTACAGGAAGGATTATTTTAACTTTTGATCGCTATCGATTACCGCGAACAGTTGATGTGGCGTGGTATAAATGGATAGTAGAACTATACATCCCAAATCCTATGAGGTGTAAAAATTGCCAACGCCTGGGTCATACGGCAAAAAGATGCACTAATGCTGCATCTTGTGCTAACTGTGGTCATCCTCCACATACTGAAAGCTTTACCCGTAGTTTCTGCATAAATTGCAATGATCAACGCTCAGCGTTAGACAAACAATGCCCACGTTTTGTACAGATGCGTGAAATATTAAAAATCAAAACAGAAAATTACTGTAGCATGGGCGAAGCGCGACGCACATACCGGGAACGAAATCCATCTGTAGCCCATGGAATTGGCAAAATTAATACCTATGCTGCTGTGGCCTCGCAAATCGAGCCTAGTAAGACTTTAACTGCAAATGTTTCCAATGGAAAATCTGTTCCACCATTAACCAAAAATTATATTGCGAAACCAGTTACATCACTTGCCAAAGATAATATTGAAAAAACCAAAGCAACTGCAAATATTGAAAAAATCCAAACAACAACACATTTGCTAAAATCTAATATACCAAATTCTCCAGAATCTCCAGCTCTCAACTTTACTCAACAAATCACAAGTGTTAATGAATCCATTCTTTCATCCCTCAATCAACCTTCAATTTCAAATTATTCACGTGCGCCAACCCGTTGCGCTTCAAATGTACCAAATCACCTAAATACAGATTATTCTGCTGGTAAGAATAAATCATTCACGAAAAATTCCTATAGTGACCTTCTCGACGGAGACGCTGACATGTCAACTTAACCCTCCCTCCACTCTGCTTACATGTCATTACAATTAAATAAAGTTTTTAAAATTCTACAATGGAACATTAAGGGACTTATTAATAATTTTGATGAACTCCGTACACTCATAAATGATTTTAATCCAACCTTTTTATCGCTTCAAGAAACCAATTGTAGAAGCTCTTTTAATCCTATTCCACCCAAATCATATACTGGATACTTGACGAATGCTGATCAAAATTCATATTCCAAACAAGGAGTAGGTGTTTTTATAAAATCAAGTATACCTCACAAACGCATAAATTTAAGCTCAAATATACAAGCCGTAGCGATACAAATAATGTTAAATATAAAATTTACAGTGCTTTCGCTCTATATTCCACCTTCGCAATCGTTTTCTCAGCAAGAACTCTACAGTTTATTCTCCGTACTTTCCCCCCCCATTAATTATAAGCGGCGATTTCAACAGCTGGAATACCATCTGGGGCTCAACAGTGAACAACACTCGCGGTACTGTTTTAGAAAAGGCCTTTTTTCAAAGCAACCTTTGCGTTTTAAATGATGGAAAACCAACGCACTTCTCAACTCATCATACTTTTTCACATATTGATTTAACATGTTGCTCTCCATCACTTCTTCCTTTGGTGTCCTGGTCTATTTCTGATGATCTACATGATAGTGATCACTTTCCAATCATAATCGATCTTAATCTTTCAACGTCCTCTGCTACTCCAGCAAAACAGGCCAAATTCCTCCTAGATAAAGCGGATTGGATCAATTACTCCAAACAGGTGGAGTCATTTTTGAACTCAAAGCCATTTAACGGAAACTGCAACCATGATGCCGCTATTATGTCTAAAGCGATTCGCACGGCTGCTCATCTTTCTATTCCTCAATCCAACACCTCTTTTAAACGGGCTAGGGTTCCATGGTGGAACAACACGCTTTCGTTTTTGAGGAAAAATAAAATGCATCTATGGCATCACTTTAAGAGATGTCCTGATCAGAATCACTTGTTATTATACAAAAAGGCCAATGCTCTATTCAGGAAGGAATTACGGAAATCAAAGGCACTTAGTTTCGAACTTTTCTCGAGACGAATTCACAGAAATACATCAATGAAAGTTGTCTGGAACAAAATCAACAGACTTAATGGGACTTCAAACCCGAATCAAATTTCTGCCATCTGCACTCCCAATGGAACTTTAACTGACGCAGATGAGATTTCTAATTACTTTGGAAAAGTGTGGTGCGAATACTTCTCTGACAGCAACTTCTCCAGTGCTTTCATTGAAAATAAAAGGACTCCAATATCTCCTTCAAATAATATCGATAGATGTGCCATGTTTCTGGAAAATTGCGTATCCACCTCAGAACTTGGAAGTTGTCTCTTCAAATTGGAAGGAAGACACCTGGTCTAGACCGCATCCCATACCAAATGATCAGTGCTGTGCCTAAGTCTAGTAAAAAGAAATTACTGGACCTATGTAATACGGTATTTATGACTGGCCATATACCCTACATGTGGAAACTGGCAACAGTTGTTCCAATTCCAAAGTCAACAAATGTCTCCATCGCATCTGATTATCGCCCAATTTCTCTTTTATCTTGCCTCTCTAAGGTTTTAGAGAAGATTATGGCATCTAGATTATCTTGGTTTCTTGAATCCAAGAACCTGATAACAAAGCAACAAGTTGGTTTCAAGCGGGGTAGAGGATGCATCGACGCTCTGTTACATATTGATTATTTCACAAGCAAAGCAATTTCCGAACGAAATCACGTAACAATTCTCTCAATTGATTTCGAAAAAGCATTTGACAGAGTTGGTCTTCATGTTATCTTAAGACTCTTGAAATCATGGAATGTTGGACCCAAATTCTTCAACTACATCAAATCATTCATGTCGCATCGGCGGTTCAAAGTTAGAATCAACAATCATCTTTCTGATTCCTTTCAGCTAAAGAATGGCATTCCGCAAGGATCTCCTCTCTCTGTCACGCT